TACCTGCTGGGGTCTGCAAAGTCCACCGTTGAAATGTTTCCCTCTGGTCACTTCTGCCACCCTTGTGCTCTCCACTGTCATCTTGTGACCAGTCTCCTAATGGGCCACTCTGCTTTCTCCTCACCTACTCCAGAATATTCGCACAGCATACAGAGTCATGCACACACACACACACACACACAGTTTTGCTTTGATTTGTTTTTAGATTTCTGTCATAGGGCGCATGTGCTTGCCAGAAAGAGAGAGAGAGAGTGTGAGGCACACCCCCGCCCCGGGGTTAGCTACGCCACAACCCTTCCTTCTCCACTTCTCGTTCTGATGCTTTGGGCACACGTGCCCAGTGTGTTTTTTCAAGCCGCAGGGTCCAGGACTCCAACCACATGGTCAGCCATGTGGGAGCCAGCTGCCTTAACCACCACGTCACTGTCTGGCCTGTTATTCTTTCTAAAATCTATTTGGGAGGCCAGCAGGTGGCGTGGTGGTTAAAACACTAGACTCCCACATGGCCAACCATGGTTCAAGTCCTGGACCTGGTGGCTTGCTTTCTCACTTTCTCTCCTTCCCTAGTATGCACACATGCCCTATAGCAAATTACGGAATGATAATAACAATAAATAAAATGACATAAATAACTCTTTCTAAAAAAACTTTTTTTCCTTTTAATTGCCACATACCCTCTGACAATGTATTGGGTCATTGGAAAAGTCATGACATATTTTTCTTCTTTTTTTGGAGAGATTTTTGCTATAGGGCGCATGTGCTTGCCAGACAGATAGAGAGAGACAGAGACAGAAAGCGAGAAATCACCCCCCAGGGGGGATGGCCATGCCACAATCCCTTCTCCTCCATTCTCTTCTCGGATCTTGGGCATGCACGCACATGCGCCCAGCGTGAGTTTAAGCCACTGGGTCCGGGACGCGAACTGCGGTCGACTACGTGGGAGTCCAGCGACATAGCCATTATGCTAACTGCTGGTCCCATATTTTTCTTCTTTTGCACAGAAAAATATGTCATGATTTTTCTGACCACCGAATAACAAGAGGGTGGAGGAGGGAGCCTGTGGCAACCCTTCTTCCTCCATCTCGCCTTCCTGTGGGACTCCGGGCATGCGCAAGTACGTCTGGTGGGATTTCCAGGCTGTGGGGGCTGGGATTCCAACCAGACTTGGCCATATGGTTTCCAGCTTCCGCTGCATAGCGCTTAACCACTGCACTGTGGGCTGGCCCCACAGGATGACACTTTTAGAGCAGAAATCACACCACCTTGTCCTCAGTTTTTAGCATTCCAGAGGGCTCACATTGCACTTAAAATAAAACTAAAGTGGGTCAGCCCACGTCCTGGTGGTTATGAAGCTGGATCTCACATGATCAAGCTCATGGTTGGAGCCCAGGCCTGGTCGTTTGAAAAACACACTTGGTGCATATGCACACATGCCCAAAATTCCAGACGAGGAAGAACTGGAAATGAAGGGAGTGGTAGGCCCCAGAGACGGGGTGCTTCTCTCTCTCACACTCTGGCGAGATAAATAATAAAAAGTGTAATAAAAGTAAAGTCCTTGGGGCCAGGTGGTGTGGAGGTTAAGGCAGCTAGATTCCCTCATGGCTGGCTGCAGAGTTCAAGTCCTAGCAACCTGAAAATCACGCCAAGTGTGTGTGCGTGCATGCCCCAAATCCTGAGAGAAGGGAGGGCAGGACGTGGCATGGCCATATCACCAAGGGGGGCGATATTTTACTTTCCCTCCTCTCTTTGTCTTGCTTCGGTGAGCACTTAGGCCCTATAGCAAAACTAAAAAAAAAAAAGTTAGAGGTCAGTAGGTAGCGTGGTTAAGGTGCTGGACTCCCACGTGGCTGATCATGGTTTGAGTCCTGGACCTGGCGGTTTTCTTTCTCACTTTCTTTCTCTCTCACTCTGTAGCTCTCTGGTCAAAAAGTAAAAGGAATAAAGTTCAATAAAATATATATATTTTAAAAGGAGTCTTGAGGACCTGCATGAGGTTAATAAGGGGCCTTGCTGCCACAGCGTGGTGACTCCATTCTAGTCACTCTGGCCTCGTCACTGTCCCTCCGGGTCCGACCACTGTATACTCTCGCCTCAGGGCCATTGCACTTGCCATTCCCTCTGCTTGAAACGCTGCTCCCCGGAGAACGGAACAGGCCTTCTCCCTTCACTCAAGACTGCTCCAGTGTGACCTTCTGGGAGGGGCCGTCCCCAATTGCCTGTTTAAACAGCAGTCTCCCGACACCTGGTCTTCCTGTCACACCAGTCCCTTTCTCTGCTTCTGTCCCCATGGCACTTTCTTTTTCTTATTTTTATTTATTTATTATTTATTATTATTATTATTTTTTTTTTGGAGAGATTTTCACTGTAGGGCGCGTCGCCGCAATCCCTTCTCCTCCATTCTCCTCTCGGGATCTTGGGCACGCACGCACACACGCCCGGCGTGAGTTTTAAGCCACCGGGTCCGGGACGTGAACCGCGGTCGACTACGTGGGAGTCCAGCGACATAGTCATTACGCTAACTGCTGGTTCCCATTATTTATTATTTTTTTTGAGAGGTTTCTGCTATAGGGTGTGTGTGCTCGCCAGAAAGATAGACAGAGAGCAAGAAATCACCACCCGGGGGGGGGGATGGCCATGCCATAATCTCCTCTCCTCCATTCTCCTCTCAGGATCCTGGGCATGCACACACACATGCACACGCACCCGGCATGAGTTTAAGACACCGGATCTGGGATTCAAACAGCAGTCGACTACATGGGAGTCCAGTCATATAGCCAACTATGCCAACTGCTGGTCCCTCCTCTTTTTTCTTTTTAAGAATTATTTTTTATTTAATTTTATTCACTGACATTATTTTATATTTTATTTTTTTAAAGTTGACCAGAGAGAGACAATAAAAGAGAAGGAAAGTGAGAAACCCAGGTCCGGGACTTGAACCGCGGTCAGTCATGTGAGAGTCAGCCACTTAACTACCACACCAGCTGCCTGCCCCTCCACAGCACTTTCTTTCTTTCTTTCTTTCTTTTCTTTTTATCTTTGGAGAAGTTTTCGCTCTAGGGCGCGTGTGCTCGCCAGACAGACAGAGACAGAGAGACAGAAAGCGAAAAATCACCCCCTCTCCTCCATTCTCCTCTCGGGATCCTGGGCACGCACGCACACATGCCCGGCCTGAGTTTTAAGCCACCGGGTCCGGGACTCGAACCGCGGTCGACTACATGGGAGTCCAGCGACATAGCCATTACGCTAACTGCTGGTCCCCCCTCCACACCACTTTCTATCATGTGACCTCACGCTCGTGGTCCCTCATCACCCTTTGAGAGCAAGGCTTGTCTTGCCCACCATGGTTCATTTCCCCTGCTCCCCCGCACCGTGGGTAGAAACGAACAGAACAGCTGAAGAAAGAAGGGACTGAGAAAATAAAGCAGCTCGCGAGCAAAGGGACCGTGGCAGCCTGGGGGGCCTGGCCGGCCTCCAGCAGAGAGGGCCTTGGGCTGCGCCTCTGCCTCCTGGCCTCCC